TGGGTCGCAGAGGAAAGCAGGGCTCTGGAAGGAAACCTGTGGAGTGCAGGACGTGTCGGCACAGGTCTGATCAGCACATTGTGGCTCCCGCATACATATCTGTGATGAACATAGATACACTCTGCAAGATCTGCTGACAGAGCCATCTATCTCCCCTTCTGTAATGAAGAAAAGATCACGCTGCTTCATCTTTGTCACATGTGGCAATAATAGAGGAAAACAAGATGTAGTTTTTACAGAGAACAGGAAAAGCGTATCTTTTCCTTTCTTATCTAGAGCAGGAACTGGGCAGGGTTCAGTTCGGGATGTTATTTTAGATAGGATGTTGTATTGGCCAGTTTGAAAAGAGAGATGAGGACCGTGCAGCACCTCCCATGGTGGCCTCAAGGCGCGTCCTGCACCCCTGGACGTACTGAGATCACCGAACTGCCTATTGAACGCAGTGGAAAGGAGGCAGAAAGACGTGGAGAGCTGCAGGGAGCAAGGGAGGCTCTCCTGCTTTGCTCCCTGCGAAGCTGGCACCAAGCGGCACTGCAGCAGTGCTCGTTTTCACTCGGCCCCGGGGCACGTTCCGCGTTTAGCCAAGCTCGGTGCTCTGCAAGCTGCTCTTGCACTCCTTAAAGCTCCCTGAATCTGCAAGTTTGTCACTTGTTTTCATCTGAAGCTGCCTAAACTCCCAGATTATTACGTCTGTTGCGGAGGTCTCTGGCTGAAATTGGACAATTGGTGCTGTGTAGCCTTTCAGCAACTTTAAGCCCTGTGCTTGCAGACTGACTGCTGTGCTTCTTAATATTAATTCTCTGCTGAAAAATATACAGTTACTTGTGCCGGAGCAAACAGTACCCTGGGACCCTGCTGTCCACTTGCATCCCATGGGGCAGAAGCGATGCTTTAGTACCGCTTCCCACCACCAAGGGCACAGCTCCATCCCCGGGGATGGATCCAGCGGGCGAGACAGGCAGCCAAGCAGCCAGGCTGTGTGCAACAGGCACTGCTCGGCGGATGGGACGGCTGGGCCACACGATGGCACCATTCTGCACCGTTCTGCCCCATTCTGCACCATTCTGCAGCATTCTGCAGCGTCCGCGCGGCCGCGAGCACCCGGGGCTTGCGGGAAGCCCCCGCGTTTCCTCAGTCCAGCTGAAGGATGTGGAGACACTTTCAGGCACGGCGCTGGGGTGCTGCAGGACCTGTTTCGATCCCTATGCTGCTAAAGCTAAAATATTTGCAATTTCCCAGCCTTCTGCCGCTATATGCTCCGTTTGCAAGGATGGCTCTCCTGAAGTCTTTGCTATCTACGGGTTCTGAGCAAAACCTGACCTTGCTGAAAGACCATCCCTGGCCCTGGGCCTTTTCTGCAGGAGTGAGGCCATTGCTCCCTATAACCAACAGCAAAACCAGGCTTATTCCAGCAAAACCAGGCTTCTAGCGTGGCAGCCACTTGCGCTGCGTATAGTCCCGCTTAGCTCAGATAAAGTGACATTGCTAGAAAATTCAGTCCTGAGCAGCTTGGCTGCTTTGGGAAATAACCCATAGATGCTCTTGAAGAACAACCCATGTCAAGAAAAAAAAAATCTTGTTCCAAGCACTTTAGGGAGGGAAAAGTGTGGAAGATTTTTCATCATTTATGCCATGGTTTCTTCAATGTTTGGCTCAATGATACCATGAGAATAGGATGTGGTGTGGTATCCAGCTACTATCTGGAGTTATTAATTACTGCAGAGGGCTTTATGTTCATTATATCCTTATTTATTTCTAAATAATATTGACAAAATAAAGAATGGCTTCTGCTCTACCTGACATTTGTTCTCTAAATTAAGTTACAGACGTTTTTTCCCCTCTCTCYGCTGAAGTCCTCCCAGAGGAGCCGTTCCTGAACAGAAGCTACAGTCTCATTTCCTATGGTAAGAAGACAACATTTCACACTGGGTAAAATAAATGGTACTCGACCAGCACTGGCAGCTGTAGCCAGACAGGGACAGCAGCATCAGGTGAGGTAATTAATGGGAATAATCCTTTGGAGAGATTGGAGATGGAAAAGTGACATTTCACTGCACTGGAACACGAGCCAAGGGGCAAGAGGGGCCCCAGTGCTCTCATGGATGATGGAACCTGCACAACTCATATCTTTAGGTTTTGATTTCTTAAGAGACGTATAGTAAAATGTGCATTGCAACGAGTAGGAGACAAGAAAAGGGAAATGCAAGACAGTGTTTTCTGCTCACACAGGCAGCTACGTTGGCACCACGTTCTTGGCCTTGCGGTCTGAGCCCTTTTAGACGTTCCCCAGTAGGGCTGGGCGCCTTGCAGGGGCGACACACGGGACAGCAGTTTTGCTTTTGCTTTTGTTATCGCTTCCCTCCTCAGCCAGCGGCCCAGCGAGGCGCTCGCGGCTCCTCTCGCAGAGATCCCAACCGTGCAAACGGCGACGGGGCCGCGTGCGCCGGTGGAGCCGCGGGCTTTCCCAGCCCGCGCCGAGCCGAGCACGGCCCCCTGCCCTGCCTTTGGAGATAAACCTCATTTTCTTATCAAGGAACTTGATCCGCAAGTGCCTGTGTGCAGCAACACCGAGTGGTGTGTGTGCGAGGAGGCCCTTGGAGTCCAGCACGAATGTCCGTGAATGTGGAATTACTTGCATTTGCCACTGTGGGTCTGGCCTATTAAAATGCCTTCCTTAAAATGAAGGATCACTAAATAACCTTTCSCTTTCTATCCTTTTTCAGATGATGATGTTGGAGCTTTTCTGGGGCTGGGTGTCAGTGTGATCGTGTTATCAGTTGTTTTTGTAATTCTCATGTTTAAGAAGTCAGCAAGAAAAAGGTATCGCTTTCCTCACAGTTTTTGTTTTTCCTATTTCCCAAAACAACCCACTTTCTTTAGAATCTCCTAACATTCTTTACAGAAACCTGTGCTTTTCGGTACAACCTGCTCGTATTGAGGGCAACCTAACCCAGTAATCACACTGCTGTGTCAGAAGGCATCTTCTATATGATCTGAAGATCTAAATGTAACCATCATTCCCCTGTAAAGGCCAGATGTAGGGACATGTGATATATTATTATATGGTTATTGGAGTGTAAAAAGGAAAGAGAGGTCAAACTTAACCTTCTTTAGGTAAGCGCTGCCACTGGGGCCTTGGGCCTCCCAGGGCAAAGGTTCATGCAAGACAAATGACTCTTCCTTCTATTTTTATTTTCCATTTGACTTGGAATATTGATTCACCCATTGCTGTGGCTGGTGTGAGTCCATAGGGAATAGTTCCCTCCATGACACGGGGTTGTCTGTTGGATGTTGCTGATAAAAGAAGAAAGAGGATGAGGAAGAGAGGGAGCTGGAGGATGGTGAGGTGTCTTGCCCTTAGTGGAGGGTGTCTCTCGCTTCCGGACACAGGTCTCATTTTTCTGCTGATGATGTAATTGTGAAACACGAGCGTTTTAGCATGAASAGAGAGTATGTAGTTTCTCAGAAACACAGCACCATACCGTCACAGCAGCAGAGCTTAGCTAAATTCAACTTTCTTGGGAAAAAAAATTATCATTTCTGCAGCAGCTTTGACCATAGAAAAAAAAATAGTCTCTAGTAATGTTGTAGTTTTGACCTTATCAGTTCAGGCAATACATTTTTTCCCATAAATGTATGTTTAGAATAAACAGTAGGTGAGCTCCGTGCCACCTCCTTGTCTGGGGACTGTTTCGTCCAGAACAAGCAAATAGGGAACTAATAACGATGGACTATCGGTGTGKTTTTTTTTCTTCTCTCTTTTGGGTAAAGAGTTACCAGAATCATTGTGTCGCTGATGCCCAAGTGGCTGCTGGAAGATTTTCCCCACGTGGAAAACAGCAATGCGATAAAGTCGCTCCAGGTAATTGCAGCGTTACGTCCCAGCTTGTTTTCGCTTGTCTTTATGTAGATTTTAAAACAAGAAACAGGATGCCAAGAGCTGCAACAAACCTGCCCAACKCTAAGTGGGAAAATTCTCCCCATTCCCAAGGAGTTCCTGGCAGGGACAGTGGGCATCGGGCCGTGGGAGCCCCGGCACTGGTTGGGCAGTCGTTTTCCAGGCACCCCGTGACACTGTCACGATACCTCTCACACTTGCAAAACCTACCAGCTTGTTTTTATGATTTGTTTYCCTTTTTTCCCTAGGAAAAAGGTGGATTTGCACATAGCAGCCTCGATGAGCCGCCCCCGGATAGCAGCGACCCAGCGATTACGGAAATAGAGGAGCTGTCGGCGGGTGAGGAACACGAGTGCSGGGACGCCGGGAGGCACCGCAGCGAAGCGGCCCCGGAGGGGACACCGCGTATGCGGAGCCCTGCGCCGGCCACCAGCGTGGCCAGCGAGCCCGTCAGCGACTACCGGCCTCAGCTCTCCGACGGGAACCTGCTGGGATACGTGGCTGCCAACAGCTACCCAGGGCAGCCCCCCGCGCCGCCGCCCCAGCCRGAGACCAACGTTTTCTTCAGGGGTTACCCGAGCCCCGTGCCTTATTTGTGGAATGCCCAAGGGACGGACGAGCAGGCTTTCCTGCTGGAGAAGATTAATCTCATTCTAAACAGCAATAGGAGTGGGCAAAACCACGCGTTCGGTTCGGCGCGGGAGGAGCGAAGTGCCCTTTTGGAAAGCCAGTGGGAAAAAACGCTGTCTAGTGAAGATGCTCAGGAACAGACCCTGGTCCCGGATGAGCTGGTCTCTTGCTTGAGGGCAATGAATGGAGAATGTGCGGATATACAGATCTGCTTTCCACAAAGCACTGGAGGGTTATTTTTAGAAAACGTAAAATTGTGATTTAGTTGTGATGKCATTTTATGACCGTGGCACGTACCAGCCTTTGAGATCTCCAGCATCAGAACTGGAACCAACCTCAGAATCGGAAGTTGACTCCAAACTTGCTCCAACTAATTTTGGATGACTGGCCAGGAAATCATTTGTAATTTTAAACTTGGTTTGTATTTTCACAGTGCAAGAAGGTCAGTTTGGATTCCTGTAAGAACTGAAATACACAGCAAGTGATTCCTAGAACATATATTATGCACCAATCCAAATAATTCTCTTGTTAAGAATTTGCAACATTTCATACTTGGGGCTGATTCCATTTAGAGATGGATAAAATGATTCCTTAGATATTTTGACTGAGGTGTGTGTGAAATATCTTGGGATCCCTTAACTGAAGATGACTTAGACATCGTACAGCAGATGTGGATGCCAAGAACATGGAAGGAAATCTTTTTTGTAGGACAGAGTAACCTTCACCATCTTGGCCTACCTTGTTGACTCAAGTTATCTGTCTGAATTTGTCACAGGACAGATTCTTCACTTGGGGTTGAAGATCTCTCATCTTCTCACACCCACGTGTGTCCGGCTGTCAGTGTTTCGGCTCGGCCAGTCTGCATGAGGGGGATGTGGTGCAAAGTGTTCATTCCACTGGGAATCCAGATAAGGAGACAGGGAGTCTCCTTCCTGCTGAGTGTCCTGGGAATCCTGCCCTTTAAGGGCCTGTCCAGGTGGTCCACCGTTTCAGGTGGTCTCATCTAATGCTCCTGAAGCAACCAGAAACTCAGTGCAAACCTGAAAAGTTGGATTATGTCTCTAGTACTTACTTCACTTAAAGAAAAAAAGCAACTTTTTTTTTTTTTTTTTTTTTTTTTAAGGAAACAACCTAGAATATTTTTAAGGAATATAAGCATGGAAGAGGTTTACTATACGCTGTAAAATGTCTGTGTATCCTATTGAAGAATGTTCTCTGCAGTACTTGCCCTTCCAGCCCTCCCTCCCCATGCCGCAGCTCAGAGCAGAAAGCGGCCCKTGTTGTTCTGGAGCCGTGGGAGGACGGGGTGAGGGGACCCCAACGTGGAACCGTAGCTCAGTGTTAGTGCCCTCTGCACTGCGCTCCCCTCTGGAGCCCGGGAGCCTCTTCCTGCTGCTCAGCACTGAGCTGGACGCCGGGATACCCCAGCGATACCGCGGATAAAGCATGTGTTGATCACACGGAGAGGAAATCTGGTGGTGATGGGGATGGGAGGGTGCTSTGCAGCCCTGCACGGGAGTTCTGCRTGGGAGACTGGTGCTAGAGGAGCGTGTTTGGCGGCCCCGCTGCAGGCGCAGCAGCGCGTTACCTCGCTGGCCTCCTCGCGGSCCGGCCGGGCGTGCACAATTACACATTGTGAATACTTCAGCAGTTCAAAATCTGTACAGGAGCAAGACTCAATAGTATTTTGCAAGMCTTACATTAGTTTTGTGGGTTTAAAGTGAGCTATCTGTAATTGGCTATCTAGAATTCACCGTTTTATTATTACTACTACTTTTTTTTTGCAGTAGGATCTATAAACCTGGAGATTATGATCTTTCATCAAATATTGCTATGCACTCTTTGCTTTTTTTCCTGACAACTGTTGCATAAATTGATCAATTTTGTCRTTTGCTCCCAGAAAGAGGTGTTGCTGTGCGTGTTTCCTTTTAGTGATTCAAGAGACATGCCATCTGTCACCTCACTTTACAGAGGGGTACATTACCTGGCTGGATGCAATAGGTTGGTGCTCTATAAGCAGCAAGCTGTTTCCAGGCCTACAAGGTTACTCTTACATGTAAGCTAGTCTAAAATTAGTGATTGCTGCTGTGCAGGAAGGAAATTGTAAAAGAACAGCCACATACTATCGGCAGCCGAAATGTGCAAGGTGAAAGGTGTTTTTTTTGAAGTCCACATCCTGACACATGGGCTGCCTGCGTTTGCCTGAGCTCTCGAAACGCATGGGATGTTTATTGCTGCATGGAAATGCTCCATGTTTTGGAGGGACAGGGTGGAGAGCACGACTAACAAGTTCCTGCTGGTTGAAACCTGAATTTCCAGCCAGGCTAAATCAATCTAGGGTGGAAAACTGCAAGCGCATTTGCGGACCGGAGGATAATTTCTTTCCTGCTATGTGTCAATAATGCGGGGCTAAAACTTTCCCCCTCTCCCAGGGCATCCTTTCTTAATCAGTGGCAAGACTGCCATAGATTTCACTGGGGGCTGAATGCAATTAGCCTTAWTTAGGTGGGTAAAGCGATGCAATTGGTAAATATGGACTGGTTACCAGGGGCAAGCAGAAGCACAAACAAGTCACACAGCCCCTCTCCCTTCCTTCTTACCCGCTCGGGTTGGGTTTGTTTCTCCCCGTGGTTTGAAAGGGGTGACAGCTTTGCCGTGGAGGAGGCTCGTGTGGCACTCGTCCTGCCTGGCCATGAAGCGGATGGATGTGTGCGCATTGCAGGTGAATTGATGCCACTTTGTGTCCTCAGTTTCAGATTTCACTTGTTCCTGTGTGCTGTTTTGCTTTGCCTGGTTTGACCTTAAAAAGCTTTCACATCATGTCCATGCCTTCTTTGCATCACAGACCGTATTCAGCGACCTAACGCCGCATCCTGAGCGATGGGGAGTGAATTGGGTGTGTGTAAGTAACCCTTGAATATACAGATAGTCACTGTTCTGTATCAAACCATGATGTCATTCTCAGTGCTTTTATTTTAACATCTTGGACTTCACTCCCTCCCTTGATATTTCCTGCACTCTAGCTCTTTGTGTGAGCGTTTTTTAAGCTTTTTTCTTCCTAAATGTGGTTATTTAGTTGGCAGCCGCATCTTGTGCAAGCGAGTTTCTGGGCTATTCATCAGTCTGACTATAAGTTTCATGGATTCTTCAGCTTAATTCTAGCAGGGTTTTCTGTACGGAAGGAAGGACGTGCTACCTAAAGCTTCTGCCCACACAACACGCACCAAACTCACCGGTCTCTCGTGCAACCATCTGCCCATGAGCATGGGCCTACAAATGAAAGGCAGTGAATTCCGTGGGTAGCTTCTGGCAAGACATTTTCTCTTCGTGCTTTATGGGCAACACAGAGAAAGCGGCCACTGCAAAGGAGGACATGGGAGAGCTTTGTCCAGCCCATGGTCTCTTTGGGTGCCCAAAGGAGGTGACTCCATGTCCCTTGGTCTTGGGGCTGCTGTCCCTGCGTCAGAGGTGGTCAAGGGCCCACAGAGATTGATTGATAGAGCCCAGCCTGAGGAAGAGCTCAGTAGCACAATATTAGCACAAGCTCTATCAGTTGGCTGCTTATCTATATCTAATATAATTACATATCAAAGCACAGTAATTCGTGACCCACAAAGCTGCAAGGTGATGTGGTTTCTCATTACTGCTCACACATCTAACAACCTCTCTAGAAAGACTCTTTTTAAGTAAATTGCCAAGAGATAGCAAATTAAAAGCCAACCAGAGCTTGGGAAGCAGTGCCTGCAGAGCTTAGGGGGCTCTGAGAGCAGCCAAGCTCTTATCTCCACCCCGTCACATCAGTGTAGGGTGTATCAGGCTTTGCCTTGGGCCAGTGCAAATCCTAAGAGCTGGTGGAAGTTGCAAAGAGCACAGTGAAGATCAACCAGGCACCATCTCTTTGTGCCTTGCTGCCTGCTCTTGAGCGCTCTGGAATAGATTAGTGACAGGTAAATATGCTGCAGTGACCAAAATTGGATTAAAAAACTTAACTAAAGCTTTGCAAAGCTAAATAGCAACACCAGGACTCTGGGGATTTCTGAATGCAAAGATGATAAGATCAAAGCAACCAACATGTAGAAGCAAAGCAGCAAACAAATGCTTAGCTCAGCGAAGTGGGCCTGAGAACAAAGCAAGTGAGAAATGACAGAGCAGGTGAAATGGCAGCACACTAAAAGGATGAATATTCATTAAAAAATACGCTATTTGGTGTGGCCTMTGGTTTTTGTTAACCTTTGGGAGAATTGATTCTTTAAGAGGGAAGATAAGAAATTATTCAAAGGATAGAAGGACTGAGCACAACAGCAGAGACTGAAACTAAATCTGTGTCTCAGAGAGAGGGTATGAGAAGTCAGGCTATGGTTTGTGCCTTTAGTGGCTTCAGTGAATGTTAGCCTYATGAAGCCAATTCCCACGAAAATGCCCCTTGCAGAGCAATGGAMGTGGGATTACGATAGAAGATTGAAGCAAGCACCTAGGGCATTGAGAAGAAAACAAACTATAAAAGATGGATTTCAAGACTGCTATTTGCCAAACTAGGTAAATCTTTCCTTAACAGGAATTAAGAAAAAGAATAATAAAAAGCAGAATTAATCTTACTGCAGTATATTAAAAAAAAAGAACAAAAGCCACAATCCTCACAATCCTTAACTTAAAAGATGCTGAATGACAGATTGTCTGGAATGACACTGAAGTCATATTCCCCAAGTAAATTTAGTTTTACTTAAGTCAGTTGTGGACTGAAGAGAAATCAAAGCAACTGCATTTGCACAGCTATGTGCTTGGTTTAATTCTGTTCAGAAAAGAAGAAAAAGAAAACTGAATAGAATCACTGGCATAAACAAGGATGCAAAACTAACATGGTGCAGAGATGACCTGGGGTATTGAAGAAACCCAAACATGCAGTAAATCCACTCTCTTGCAGYTGTACATAGGATTACGATGCTTTGGTCAGTATTGACGTAATGCAGCAGACCAGGACTCCACTGTCCAGCTTCCCTGGAGAGATCACCCAGTCCAACCCCTGCACACGCAGGGTCACCCCGAGCACGGGGCACAGGGCTGTGTCCAGGCGGGTTTGGGAGATCTCCAGAGAAGGAGCCTCCACATCCTCCCTGGGCAGCCTGTGCCAGGGCTCTGGCACCCTCACTATTATTTAAATGTTTCCTTAAGTTCCTGTGGACCTTTTGGTGCCTCAGCTTGTGGCC